AAAAGTAAATAAAATTATAAATCTAGATGTGTAATATGTGATATATATATAGAGAGAGAGTGCCCCCCAAAATGTATACACACTTAACAGCTGATAGCTCAATTGATGTTTCTTTCTTTTCAGATTTAACCCATTGGAACCAATAATTGTTCAAAGTGTGTACACTTTTTTGGGGGACACCATACATATATATCTCTCTTTAAGAACAAATTTTTCCTCCAACTCATTTTCTTTCTTAGTCCCCCATGCTGTTTATTCTGGTTGAAGTGGTTGCAGCCAGAAACAAAAATGCCCCCCTTAGGATTTCTTGTTTAAAAAACCCTTTTTTCAAAGGGTTTGTTTTCTTAGACTTGGAAGCTGTTGAAAGGGGCCAGATGGATAGCCTTGGAAGCTGTTTATCTGCAGAGGAGAGCAGGTGTGGATGGAGCATCCTGGGCTTCCCACGCAGCACAGCTTCTAACTCGTGCCCTCCTGGGTGACAGCTAATATTAAGTTGGGAAGTTCAGAGGACTCCCTGAAATAAAAGTGGACACTACAAGTCAGCAGCACATTCCTTTCCTGTCACTGTTGTTGTTGATATTACACGCTAAGACCCTCCCATCCAATACTCCTTAAAGTCTGATATTAAGGAGGATATTGGAGGATGCAGTGCAGTGCGGGATTGCAGGATGAAGGGCTAGTAGGTGAGAGAGTAGGGAGGATGGTGAAAAATTGTCTGAAGTTGCCTTTTCATACAATGCTATCTGCATTTTGTGATGTCTTTTCTTTGTAAGTCTGTGGGAAGGACCAAACCGTCCCTCAAACATTGGCCCTAGCCTTACCAAGTTGCTGAACCGAAAGTAGTATCCACCTTTTCCCAGATTTCTTGTTTAATGAGAAAAAAAATATATTATTTATGCCATTATTACTTGGGTTCTCCTTTATTTGTGGTAGAAATATTCATTCCTAACTGAATCAGGAGGAAAAAGGGAACTGGAAGAAGTTTGTATGAAGCAGAAATTGAATAAACCACGTTTAAAATCAACAGCAGTGTCTAACAGCCGTGGGCAAACTACGGCCCGCGGGCCGAATCCGGCCCGTTTGGCTGTTCTATCCGGCACGCGGAGCCAAAAGAGCAGAGGGTTCTCTTGCTCTCCCCTCCGCTCCTTCACCAGCAGCAGTGTTAACATGGCAACGTCAGGAAACACGGCCGCAGCTCCTTCTTCTGAGTCCAGTTTAAGAACCCATTGTGGCCCTCGAGTTAAAAAGTTTGCCCAACCCTGGTCTAGCACATAGTAAGTGCTCAATAAATATTTTAAAAAGAAATATGGATAGATATATGAATCTTGCAGGACTTTTGTGGCTGTAAATTGACATGAAATAATCCATCTAATATTCCAGCTACTATTTGCAATTTTGATTCAGGGCTATCAGGGATTCATGCAACAGGGAAGGGGGAGCATCCCTCAACCTGGCCTGCACCCTCTCGCAATCTGGGACTCCTTGGTCCCTCAGGGGATGTCGGACTGCTGGTTTTGGCCCAATCCCCACAGGCCAGGCCGAGGGACCCCACCGGTGCACGAAACCATGCACCGGGCCTCTAGTATGCATATAAGATCTTTGGTTAATCTCTTCCTGCCCTACCCCCTACCCCCTTCCCTCTGAGATTCATCAGTCTGTTCCATGTTTCCATGTCTGTGGTTTCTGCTCCTACATTGAGCGTCTTTCCCCTGGTGGTCAGTGCATGTCATAGCTATCGGCCGGTTGGCCAGTTGGCCGGTTGCTTAGGCTTTTATACATATAGATACACACAAAGAGAATCTTCTTAGGGTTACAGCATTGCCTTTTAAAACAAATGTTTTTATTGATTTTAGAGAGAGAGGAAGGGAGAGAGAATGAGAAACTTTGATCAGCTGCCTCCTGCACACCCCCTATTGGGGATCGAGCCTGCAATCCAGGAATGTGCTCTGACCCAGAATTGAAACTGGCAACCTTTTGGTGCATGGGACAGACTCAACCAACTGAGCCACATTGGTTAGAGCCACCAGTGCCTTTTATTTTGTTTTATTATTTATTTATTTTTTTTTAGAAGCGAAGGGAGAGGGAGAGGGAGAGAGAGAGAGAGAGAGAGAGAGAGAGAGAGAGAGAGAGAGAGAGACATCAATGATGAGAGACTCATTGATCATCTGCCTCCAGCCAGCTTCATACCAGGGATCGAGCCCACAACCCAGGCATGTGCCCTTACTGGGAACTGAACTGTGACCTCCTGATTCATAGGTTGACGCTCAACCACTGAGTCATGCCAGCCAGTCACCAGTGCCTTTTATAGAAGTTCATGGAATTTAGCTACAGAGCACTTCCTTATATTTAAAACCTGAGAAGATACCAATGAAACTTAGCTGATTTTGTAGAAGAATTTATGAATTATGGCAATTCTTCGAAAGCAATTATACCACTTGCCGGGGGGGGGGGGGGATTTCTGATCCAGCCATCCCTAGCATAGCTTGCAAAAGCCTGGCACATCCTATATAATAAAAGGCTAATATGCAAATCGACCAAACAGCAGAATGGCCGGTCGCTATGATGTGCCCTGACCACCAGGGGGTAGACGCTCAATGCAAGAGCTGTCCCCTTGTGATCAGTGCGCTCCCAGAGGGGAAGCACCACTCAGCTAGAAGCCCTTAGTCGGGCACAAGGCTGGCGAGCACAGTGGCAGTGGTGGGAGTCTCTCCCGCCTCCATGGCAGCGCTAAGGATGTCCAACTCATGGCCTAAGGGAGCGGGCCTAAGCCAGCAGTCAGACATCCCCTGAGGGTTCCCGGGCTGCAAGAGGAAGATAAAGTTCTAACATTTCAGTTTCCTTGGAAGATGAGTAGATAGTTTCAATAATATTTTGTCCATATTTTGTGTGATCAATGATAACAAATCATATGTATTAGTTATCAGAAAATGAAATGTGTATTTACAAATAATTGCCTGATTTTAATTTTGTGATGAGGAAGGAAGAGGGCTACAATTAAAGTAATAGAAATGTCTTCTCCTTCCTCTCTCTCAACCCTCCCCAAAACAAAAAATTTCCTGAGATTTTTAAAAATAGAAATCCTTATAGAAACTGTATAACATAATGGAGTGTTTTGTTCATTTTTCATTTAATAATAGTCATAAATAATAACCAAATATTAGAGTTCTTTTGATTCATGGATTTGCACACTTTGTCCTTGGCTTCTCTCAAAGTGTGAGATTATGAGAGAGACTAGCTGTGACAAGACTTAAGAGGAGAAAAAGATCCCGGTTACTGGTAGAAATATAGCTAAGGAGAGCCATAAATGTAATAGAAAAGAATATCTTAACTGAAGAAAATAATCCTAGCTTTCCCATGCACATGAGCAACTCCGTGGGTGGGCTGATTTTGTGAGTCAATCAGACCCAAAGTATAGGTCTAGAGATTACAAAGAAAATAAATACATTTGTAGGTCAGAAATATCTCACTTGGTCTGAATTAACAGCTTTTCTTTCTCGCTCATTTTCACTAATTGGTGTGTGTGTGTGTGTGTGTGTGTGTGTGTGTGTGTGTGTTTCTTTCTTTGATTAGTAATGCACTTACCATTAATTTTGATACAATGTAATTTTAGAAATACATATTTCATTTACTCATATTTTTCAGTTGACTTTATTTATACTCTCTCCCTTCTTTAAAAAGGCTAGAGGTTTGTTTCATAGGCTTTTGGTAAAAGTCACTTGTTAATTCAACCATTAGTTATTGAAAATCTACTGTGCTCAAGGCACCTTGAACTTTCTAAAGCTGAATAAAATGTGGCCCTTGATGCTTGAGTCTTGGTATGTTATCTTGCCAAGAAGCAGCTGATTTTTAACAAGATGATAACAACCCTGGTGGCATACCAGAATCACATGCAAAGCTTGTTAAAAATACACCTGCCCAAGATCCAGCTCTCAGCTTAGGGAAATTCTGGTAATAGGTAGGGCCCGAGGTGTGTGCAATTTTAACAAGCTCCCAAAGTGAATCTAATACACGAACCAGGACTAGGAACCAACTTTAATTAAGAAAGGACTAGCTGCAGTAGTTCAGCCGCAAGTCAACCAAGTGAATGTCCTTGAAAACTACAATATAGCAGCTGGCTGAAGTCATTTAAAAGGCTGTTTTTCTCTATTTCCACTGGTTCAGAGTGGGTAGTTCTAGGCTGAAAAGCACGCCAGAGGAATGGGTGGGCCCAATCTTTTCTGTAAAACCCCTGGAACAAGACTGTTATGGAGAAATAAGATTGCTACAGCCAAAGATCATCTCCAAAGCCGCCCCACTCTGTCCTTATTTGCATCTCACACGAAATGTTCTTATTTGTGTAAATTTTCTCCTTCAGTGGATTGTGAAGTATTCAGGGGCGGGAGCAGTCCTCTTTCTTTCCCCGACTAAGGAACACAGTCACCCATACAGAACAGGCGCTGACAGGTGTTTGTTTTGAACTGAATTGAATCCTCATCCGACTTCTGGGGTCTGACCATAGACGTATGCATCTATTCATAGTGGACATTTATAAATATCCATAAAAGTATACGTTTGCTTAAAAAACATTTCAATCACACAAGAGAATATGTAACATACATAAGAAAGAAAGAACAATAACAACAAGCACCCTGGACTCACATCCCAGTTGATGAAACAGGAAGTTGCCAATACCTTTGAGGTTCCCCCCTAGACCCTTTTGAACAATAACAGGCTTCTGAAACTTAAATCAGAACTCGCGTATTCAGTCATTGATGGATTGGACCATCCGTTCATTAGTCAAATGTGTCAGAATCGATGATGACCAGGTGGTTATTTCTACTGTCGGAGTGAGCTGCGTCCAAAGTGACATGAGCTCTCTCTAGAGGCGTACAGATTGCCTTTGCTGCCAGCAGTCCTAACGCCGCGGGGTCCTCCCGAGCCCGCGTGGTTTCGGCGTGCGGACACTTTGGGCCGAAACTACGCGTCCCGGCAGTCCGCGGGGCGAGTGGGCGGAGCCGGGCCGGGGGCGGGGGCCTGGCGAGAGGGGGCATTGTGTCGGCAGCGGCGAGCCGCGTTTGTCTGCTCGAGGGGCTGGCGGAGCGAGCGTTGTGTCCGCCGGCCGGTCGCGAGCTGGAAGTGTCATCGGTGGCCGCGGCCCCGGGAGGAGACCGAGTCGGAGGAACCTCGCGCCCGCTGTCCACGACCACCGGCAGGGAGCGGCGTGCCAGCGGAGCAACATGCAGATAGGCGCCCGGCGCCCTGACGACCCCTCCAGAGGAAAAGAGTCCGGGGCGGCGCTGGGGCGGCGGGGAGCATGAAGGAGGCCGGGGGGCGGCTCAGCTCGGAGCGCTGCTAGGAGCGCTGCGCGCTGCACAGTCGCCAGGGCGCAGCGGAGGGCGGGGAGCCGGGCGGGGAGCCGGGCGGGTCGCGCCAGCGAGCGGGAGCCGGTCGCCGGGAGCTGTTCTGATTTCGGACGCGGACGCTAGGGGCCCGGAGCAGCCCCCGACCTCGGCGTGCAGCCAACATGGGCAACGCGGGGAGTATGGATTCGCAGCAGACCGATTTCAGGGCGCACAACGTGCCTTTGAAGCTGCCGATGCCGGAGCCAGGTGAACTGGAGGAACGATTTGCCATCGTGCTGGTGAGTGCGCGGCGGCGCAGCTGACCCCCACCCCCTCCCCTTCTCCCCGCGCGGGGAACAAGCCTGTCCCAAGGGGAGGGCGCCCACCTTCCCCATTGTGGCCTCCCCCGCCTCACTCCTCTCCGTCCCCCTTCCAGACCCCGCGCTCAGTCCTCTTAGGGTCCCGGGATGGGGCTAGGGCTCGGTGCGGGCTGCCTGGCCAGCTCCGAACCCATTGTCTGGCGGGAGAGGCACCTCGCGGCGCGTGTGCCCGGGAGGTGCGGCGTGGGCGTGAAGGAAAGGTGGCGCGGGCCGGGGAGGAGGGGGTAGCGAGTGGCTAAAGCTTATTGTTAAAAAAAAAAAAAAAAAAGCCTCAAACCCGGCGTCCCTGCGGACCATCCCGGCCTGCGGGGTCCGGGGCCGGTGGGTGCATGTGGCCGGCCTGGGCTACGCGCGAAGGGGAACTTGGAGGCGGAGGGGCGCTCCCCTGAAAGGGAAGGAGAGGGAGCCCTAGGCAGTGCGGCGCCCTGGTCCTTCAGCGAGGAGAGGGCATCTGAGCCCCAGGCGCGAGAGGAGCTTCGCCTCAGCGCGTTCCTTTTGGTCTTAAATCTAAAACCACAAAAATGTGCTGTTTTGCGGGGACGTGTTGCGAGCTGTTCTGACTCCAGGCGCGACCCCTCCCCTCCCATACCAGCCAAGTCCCGGGCTCCCTTCCGAAACCCGCTTCTCCTAAGTTTACAGCTTTCAAATCCAAGACAGAATAATCCCTTCTTTCTCCCTTTTCGGCTGGGACTAAGTTTGGGGGCCCCTCCCTGCCGCTGCTGGTCAGTGCTGTGAGCTCAAGAGGGTGTGGTGGCCTCCCCTTCGCCCCAGCCAGAGTCTACTGCAGTTGGTCCCCCGACTTTGATTTGTAGTATCCCAGCCTCTTCTAAGGGATGCGGGAAGGGAACAGGCCAGATCGGACGCGTTCCTCTTCCTTACACTTTACTTGTACATTTCCCTCTTCCCAGTCAATGGTTCTCAACCTTCTGGCCCTTTAAATACAGTTCCTCATGTTGTGACCCAACCATAAAATTTTTTTCGTTGCTACTTCATAACTGTAATGTTGTTACTGTTATGAACCGTAATGTGAATATCTGATATGCAGGATGGTCTTAGGCGACCCCTGTGAAAAGGTCGTTGGACCGCCAAAGGGGTCGCGACCCACAGGCTGAGAACCGCTGCCTGCAAGGCTGGGAAGCAAGAGGAACTTGTGCTAGAGGCAGCCACATTTTGCGTTTGCCTGCGGGTTTTTGGCTTGTAGCGCACAACCTTGGGAAAGGACCCGAGTCCGAACCCTGACTGGGACATTTAATTGGTCCCTTTTCAGGCCCGGTTTGATATCGGGAATCATGTTCTGGATGGCAGGTTAGCTTTGTGCTCTTTGGGAGAACAGAGGCCACGCGCTTTTTCACACCACCCGGAAGCTGGTGTGGCAGTCGGGAGATAGATGAGGCTGCCTGTCTTGCTTTGAATCTTCTGTGATCTCCCACAGCTGCTCCCACCTTGTGCAAGATGGGACCCTCTGAAATGAAACAGCATAGGCTTAATTACTTTTCAAGAAAGCCTGGGCGCATACTTGACTTGCCTTTCCAGAGACAAACCTTTTTTATTCCAAATCCTCTTCCCACCAGACACATGGTTCTTACTCCCAGCTCTGAGTTTTCTCTTTCTATCCGTCCATGCCGTGGTCTGTGGTGCTGTGTGTGTGGAGGGACTTGCAGTGGAAGGGCCAGTGACACAGGAAAACCAGATAACAATAATGCAATTAAATTCTGCCCAACTGGGATAGCATGTTTTGCATGAGCTCTCAGTTACGGTGCTGATTAATAACACATGGTATGAATTAATCCTTAGAAAAACAACGTTCCGTCATTAGCATGGTTGATTTGTGTTACTATTAAGTCTAGCAGCCACAAATTTAGTATGCAGACATTTTTGATTCTACAGTATGAGCTCCTTGGGGGTAATGGCTGGTTGTTGTGGCTACTTTTACTCTGCTCACACACAATTCCTGGATGCGGCTCCTTTTGTAATTGTTTACAATAGTGTAAGCCTATCAAAACAAACAAAAAAACAAAACCGAGAAGCACTAGGCTGACCTTTTTTGAATAGAGACAAAACTTTTGTTTTGGGACAATCTCAGCTTGGGGGCCCATTGATGTGGTGTTTAATGTCACTCCTTAGTCAGCTCCAGCTGCTCTTTGAAAATCTACAAGTGGAATTAAAGGGAATGTGTATGGCTTGATAGAAATTCAAAGTTACGATTTCTCTTCCGGTCAGTTTCTGAAGTTGTACATGCAATGCTCTCAACTTTGCTTTTCTTCACGAATTGCTTAAGAAATCAGCTCAAACCATTTAATTCTGGAGATCAAATTTTAGATTGGCAAGTTTTTAAGTTTATATGTGGAGAAATTCTCTACTCTGAGGCACTGGGAATCATTGTGCCATTATTGATCCTAGGTGGTTCCCCCCCCCCCCCATATGCTAAAGATCATATGTGTTTTTTGGGAAAACCAGATAGTAATACAGTACAGAAAATTATACAAGCTCCTCATTGTAAGTATGGCTTAGTACATCAATAATTAACAAGCCATTTCAGGCATAGAAAACAGTTCCTCCCACCTCCAAGCTCTAGAATATTTAATGCATTGGGGAAAAGTAAATAAAAATAAAAGTGACAGAAGTCCATCTATTTCTGGAAAACTTAAGAGAGAGCAAACCTACTCAATGGCTGTTCCCCCACCCTCCTCAGTCTATATGAGTTAAATTGTATAAATCTAAAAAAATTAGTGGGTGTGAGTGGAAAGGTGAGAGGAAAGAGTAGAAGGCTGCTGAATTAAGATCAATAGAGGGGTAAACTTTAAAATATAATAGTATTTTTATAGGAAAAAATGAGATTTTTCAATAAATTTGTGTTAACTGAACTTTAATTAATGACCAGTAAAACATGGATCCAATTCTTAGGAGCTTAATCCTCCTAAGGAGAGTCTCACCCCTCCCTGTGCGATGTTTCTGTTACATTCGATGGAAATATTTCATAAATTGTACATTTAATTATCTGCTTCAACTTTTGTTTCTTTAGGGTGTATATATTTTATGTATTTTACAGGTAACATTGACCTGTATTTTTGGGGTCTCGCATATTTATAATTACACTAGAGGCCTGATGCATGAAATATGTGCAAGGGGCTTGGCCCTTGCAGCTCCAGCTGCCCCGGCCTGCCTTCGCAGCCCTGGCTTAGTCTGGAATGTCATCTGGACGGTCGTTTGGCTGTTTGGTCTAATTAGCATATTAGTTCTTTATTATATAGGATATCTCTGTGGCTCTCCATTATTAAACACTGTCTGATTGTTGGGAACATCACACATACGCACACACTCTAACACTCCCATGTCCTTTATTTTCAGAGATGACACTAGGAAGTTGATTTTGGGTGTGGTGAACAACTGATTATCTTTGTTCAAGAGTACCTCTTTCTACTGTAGATACTCCTATTACTCATGAATTTATGGCTTGCAGTCGCTGTTTGTCCCCCACTGCCCTTGTCAAAGAGCTGCCCTCAGGATTCTTTCTTTGAGTTTCAGAGGAAAGGATAATTTTAAGCCTTGTATCCCAGCTGCTGTATCTCTGGGATATCAGATATCAGGCTGCTCATCCAACAGATTACAAAAGACAGATTAGGAAGTGATGGTTTAGGGCAGTCTTCTCCTGTGTTAAATACTGGGAACAGCTTTGGTATGTGATTAATTTGAGTCAGTTTCCGTTTTTGTTGTTTTTTTTTTGCTTGCCCTGAGGTTGAATGTGGTCATTTTGTTTAGGGAGAAGCAGGACCATTTTCTGAGTTCCTACTGTGAGTACTCCCCATGCTTACATGTTCTCATGTAATCCTCACAATCCTCACAATAACTCCAGCTACGGGCAACATTTTAGCCGAGGATATAAAGGTTACCGAAATTGCCTGAGGTCATAGAATAGCCGATCTAGGATTTTAACCCAGATTTGGATCTCTGCATCCCCCCCCCCCCCCCCAATTATATTTTACTTTCTTAAGCCTAGAACTGGGAAGGAAAAAAAGCTGGGGGCGGGGGGGAGACTAGCAGTAAAGCTGTAAAAAAAACACAAAAACCTCAAACCCCAAACCCAAACCAACTAAATCAGGTAAATGCAAGTATCCAACTATAATATTGGCAGACATTTCTTAGATTGGTTAAAGTGGGGTGCACTTGATGCTTCTCTTCAGGTGTCAGACATTTTGGCATCTTCACTGTGCTGTCCTGTTCTCAGGCATGGAGTTCAATGTTCACTTAATCTAAAAGTGCGCTCTTCGGTTTTCCCTAAGCAGGCAGACTTGAACTACTTGGTGGGGAAGGTTGGGGTTTCCACATCAGGGGGAAGAGGCAGTCTGTCAGTGCAGTGCCTACACTCCAAATGTAATTACTTTTGAACGGGACAAGGAAGGTCAAGTCTTTCCAATTAAGTTGATCTCCCACTGCAAGGTGTTGTTCCCTTTCAACCACTTCCGAGGAGAGCTCTTGCCATGAAGTCTGCTGAGCAGATGGGTGGGTAGCAGTGAAGTGAGGCCATCCTCAGATGCGTGCTGATTTGTTTTCTCACATCCCTTTTCCTGTTGGGAAAGAAGGGGGGTGAAGAGTTGTCACTTTGTGCCATTGCAGCCTCATCCTAGGCAGTCATCCCCTGAGCTGTTTTATTCTCAAAGTAGAGATTTATGCTTAGGACTGTGCTTATCATCATCATCTCGGTGTACTCCTCCTCCCTCCCCTTCCCTTCACGGTACCAATATATATATAGGTATCTAGAGTCGAAGTTGATCAAAGGCTATACTCTGAATATAAATGTTTGGCTCTAGTGAGAGACTGGCAGCAATGTAAGCTGATGAAACATGGGGGAGAAAAGGTATGCAGGCCCTTAAATCCTTAAGTGATGAGAATTACTTTTTGTGGCCTCTCATTTAGCAAAC